AAAACCCTTAGGCCTCGTTCGCTTTTCGGTAAGTTACTTACCCGGGTAAATGCAGTTACCTGGGTAAGTTTTTCCTGGGAAGCACTTATCCGGGTAAGTGCATTTACCCATGTTCTTTTATTTCTCATGTAAATAAGGCAATGCCATTTTAGCCATAACAATCCATTATTAAAAAGGGCATTTTTGTCCCATTCAAGTGTTGGCAATTTTCCCCCTAGGTGGGAAAGTTATTTACCCACCTAGGAGATGGGTATCACTTACCCGGGTAAGTGATACCCAGGAAAATAAACTTTCCCTGCCCCACACATAAAACTGAAAAAAAGAACATGGGATTCTTGGTCAATGGGAACCAAAATCTCATTAACCAACTTCCCCCCCTCTCAGAATCCGAAAAAAGAACACTCCCTTAGAGGAACAGACGAAGTGGTCGCTGTTAGAAGACTTGGAGAGATCGAAGTAGTAGTAGTTTGAACAGGAGTGTGAAACTGATTTGAGGGTGGTGAGACYGGGGTTGCTTCCTTCTTTTTGGTTGGTTTGTTTACTTACATATGGGAATGTTTATTCCATTACGAGATAGATGTTAATGGGATTTGGATCATCCTATTACGTGATCCTTGAGCATAAGAATTTGGAATGGTCATTCTTTTTCTTTTATTTTACCTTTTTTTTTGCATTTTATTTTGAGGCCCCGTTCATTTTTTCGGTAAGTTACTTACCCGGGTGAGTGCAGTTACCTAGGTAAGTTTTTCCTAGGAAACACTTACCCAGGTAAGTGCGTTTACCCATGTTTTTTTATTTTTCATGCAAATAAGGCAATGACCATTTTAGCCATAAAAATCCATTACTAAAAAGGGCATTTTTCTCCCATTCAAGTGTGGACAACTTTCCCCTTAGGTGGTAGAGTTATTTACCCACCTAGGAGATGGTTATCACCTACCCGGGTAAGTGATACCTAAGAAAATAAACTTTCCCTGGTCCCCACACAAATCTAAAAAAAGAACATGGGATTCTTGGTCAATGGGAACCGAAATCCCATTGACCAACTTTCCCCCCTCTAAAAATCTGAAAAAAGAACACCCCCCGAATGCTTATTTGAAATGTGAAAAAGAAAGTCCATGTGATAGTTGCTACAGGATACTTCTTAACAGCACAAATACGTACATAGGAAATTATGCCTTACTGTCCAAGCATTTTCAAGTGCAAATAATTGATTGTTAAAACTATAAGATTAAATAAATCCTTGCGTTTAGCATCTGAGTGCCCGAGTGGTTTTGGAAGATACTAGTTACCAAATTCTAGGACATGATAAATGTTAATAATTCATCTCCGAAAACATACCGTTTACCAAATTCTATATTCTTCAAATTGGATGCATTTTTTGGTCAACTTTTTATTCAAATTTTTGTCCATAGAAAATAAGAGGACATGCCAAAATATGCCTGAATATGCTATTTAACGAACTAATGACAAAACTTGTGAAGGCATTTGATATGCCTAGACCACTTTTGGAGAGTTTGAATAACCACTCTCACCCTACAATAGTATTGCCATTTGAATTATTCATTCCAATAGAAGGAAGAATAACAAAAAACAGATAAATCCTACTTACACCATACACCATGGAGGTGCAATGCTATGAGCCTGAAAATCATCTTCCCAAATATATGCTTCTTGTTAAGCACATATGATACAAGAAACATTGATTGGAATAACCCATTCAACAATTATGTAATAATTGATTGGAATAACCCATTCAAAAAATTTGCATTGCTTTCCCTACATGTATGAAAATGAAATTTAAGATCGATAATTGCTAACAATATTACTAAGGTAGTTTTAGAAAAACTTATGTGGGTTGGCAGGTGCCTCAGAAAGTTTAATCGCTCATTTCTTCCCACACAAATAAAATTTTACTACATTCTTAAATATTGCAAGATGAAGTATATTCACAAGTAGATTGCAAACTCATTCGAGTATACATTACAACAATAACTCCACTCATTCGAGTATCCTAACTTAGGGTTTTTCTTGAAATTGTGTGAAATAAAAAAAAAATCCAAATTTATGAAATTAGGTTTTTTCTTAAAATTTGTATGAAATCAAACAATAACCCAAATTTACCAAGTTATGGTTTTTTCTGGAATAATTATGCAATAAAGTCAATTAATAAAAACCCAAATCTAGATAAGTGTCCAAGAAATTGTGTGAATTCAAAAAATACCCAACTTAGTATTTTTGGTTTAGTCATTTCTGCTATGATGAACAACCATTTAATTATTTCCACTATGAATTCAGAAAATGGCTCTAATAATAAATAAGACAAGTCTTGCACTCGCTTACGTGGCAGAAACACTCCCAAACATATCAAAGCGTTTTTTTTTTTTGTGAAAAATGGGTCTAACAAGCATGGGTGTTTTTTTGAAAATCGATCCCAGAAAACGCTCATGCTTCCAAACACCATCATAGTGACATTGTTATGCTTACACAAAAAATGAGAAGACCCTTTAATAAAGAGGAGAGAAAAAATAAAAATTTGTGATTTTCTATTGGTTATTTGAAGGAGAAGAATAGGAAAAAAGCAATGCCTAGAGGAAGAAGAGAGTATTTTTCGTTGAGGGAGAGGAGAAATTTTTCACAAAAAATAAGGATGAATATACATGTGTTCAAATCCATTTGTTGGCAAAAGATACATGTCACAAAAAGAAAAGCTTCCATTTGGTAGCAAAAATATAGGAATGCAACATATTAAACTATGAAGAAAGAAGCTTGCATACATATTGATCCTTTGAGCGTTGAGGGTTCAGCTGTAATGAGGAAGACTTTGAAAGTAAGAGATAAGAGATGTTAGGCATTTGGACGATATATAAACTAAAAGGGTAAAATGGTCCAAAAAATAATGGGAGGGTAGTTTGGGAATTATAAAATGTTGAACAATCACATGCCGATTACATGAGAATCTTTTCTTAATGGAACCCTAAGGAAGGGGGTCTTTGTTGGAATCTAAATGTTCAATGAGGTCTTTATCACAAATGAAAGTTCGGGGGGGGGGGGGTTGGGGGTAAGTGCCACTACCCCCATAGTACGGGGGCAATCTATATTTTATCCTAAAATATAAAATAATATATATTCATATGGACCAACTCCTTTTACACTAGTGTTTACAACTAAGATTCAAAGTATCGACACGTATTGGCCCATATTGGTTGATAGTATCGTTCCGAGACCCCTCCGATACGCCCCTATAGTGGGTGTATCGAGGGTCTGACCGATTCAGGGGGTGGAGGAGCCCTAAACCACCCACCGAACCGGTTTCAGAAAAAAAAAATAAAAAAAGTAAAAAAAAATAGTATCGATTCGCCTGATACGCCCCTATCGACGTATCGGGCGTATCGATATTTTGAACTTGTTTACAACTTTGTGTTATCCCTACCAACACTAGTGTTTACAAAATTGAACACCTCCTTTTACAATAAATATTACAATGAAAGCACAAGTATAAATCAAATGCCTCTCAAATAGGTAAATATGGCAAATACAAATAAAACTAGCACCGTGAAGACTTGTGGCTTAAATGGGGTGTTACTCTCTTTCAAACTCAAGGGTTTTTTTTCCTCTTTTGTTCACTTCAAGGGTCTCTATAAATGTAAAGAATTCTTTTTATTTTTTTGGAGAAAGCATTTGGTTCATAGAAATATTTTCTCCTTTTGCTTATTCTTTTCCATTCTTGCTTATTCTAAAATATAATTCTAAGAAAAAGTGAACAAGAATGAGAATTGAATCAAACATAGCCTTATTTAACCATATTCCCCATAGAATGGTAGAATACATTTTGTGAGGTACTTATATTTAGATTGCCAAATACATAAAATTTTGGTATTACATGTCAACATCGCAAATGGGATAGATTTGCAAATCCAAGATGGAGGCCAAACATTCAAGAAACTCAAGTTCAAATTAAGTGGGCCTTGGCTAAGCTCAATTCTACAAAATAAAGTCCAAAATCAATGGATTCAAGTGGAACCCACTAAAAGAGTCTCTAAACATCCCGAGTTATCTAGAAAAAAATCAAGATGGTTACTTTCATCTTAATTCTACAAATAAGAAGAAAATCTTATCTTCTAACCACATAAGTCCCACAAGTTGAAGGATATTGGCTGAAACTCAGACAAATAAGTTTTCACCAAGAAGGTTGAGGCTGATTAAGATTCTTTCAATATACCTCTACTAAAAGGTTTTTATTCACAAGGAAATGACGTTTTTTTTTCCACATCACAGGAGATCTTTGGAAGAAGTGAAAGAAAGCTTTAAAAGACCTTCAGAGTTTTCCATCAGTAGAAGCCTTAGAGTTTTCTATTACCATTTTCTCCAACTCATAAGAGATCTCTATCAACAAAAGCTTGAGAGTTATTCACCAACTAAAAAACATCCTTAGTGATTCTCTATAAGAGATCCCTATCGTATAATTGTTAAAAGATCTACAAGCATCAGTTCAAGAGGAAGCTTCATTGACTCTTAGATCATACACACTTTCAAATTCATCAGAAATTAAGCTTCTAAAGCCCTTAGATAGAATAAAGAAGAAAAAAAAAAAGAACCAAAGGTTTTTTCATTGTAAAGAGATTATGTCTTACATATTTGTATCCCAATTTATTTAATATCAAAGATTTGATATTTGTTATCATTGTTTTGTCTTTGAATTTTTAACTAAAAATTTTATGTATACACACATATACACACATGTACTCTTTATCTCAAGCAATTAAAAAAATTACATGGCTTGGTGGTATAATAATTTGGCACAAAGGAAGAGAAAACAACCTTGAGTTGAGATGATTTCTTTGATCAAATTGAAAAACAAAAATACAGGTTGTCTTATTTTCGGTCTACAAGTGTGAATGTGAATTCAGTGCATTGACCCAACCAAAAATTGACCCACTTGTATGATATTTTAAATTGATTTGAAAATCAAACCAAGAGGGACGTAGAAAATGGTTCAATTTGGGTGGGTCGTTGACAATGGCGATTGGCGAAGCCACAGGAAGGCTTCTGTGTTGAAATTTCTTGAGGCACAAGCCGCCGGTCAAATTAGAATTTAGAATGCAAACTCACGCAGCCATTAGCCCATCAGTTTGGATTTTTAGAATAGAAGAATCGAATCCTTCTAGAAACACTTCTCCCCCTCTTTGTTTCTCCAAATCCAAATCAGTTGCTTCTCTCTCTCTCTCCATGTTTGAAAATCTTTTGCCTCGTTTTTGATTTTCTGTTGTTGCTCGCATCATCTCATTACGACCCGCCCTCGTTTCTCGCGTTCTCTGTCCACCTTTTGGCTTTCTCTCTCAGGGTTACAGGTTGCTCCCCTCTTTTCTTCTTACAATCCTTCTTTTGTGTCGCTGCATCTTACAAATCCAGAAAACTAAGACGTTCGGATAGTTGGTTATCTCTATCTCCCTCAGTCTTTATATCTCAGGTACGTTAGTAGTTGGTTCGTCTTTACAACAGGACAAGGAAGCAGTAGAGAAAACAGAATACTTTCCCATGTTCTATTCTATCTTCATTTTACTTTAAGCTGCTCTTGTTTGTTCGTTGTAATTGCAGCCTTGCAGGTGTTGGAGTTGGTGGTTAGTCAGATATTTCCATTATAATTATTAGATCTTTCATGATTTTGAAGTTTGGAGGCTCTTCGCTGCTCGAGAGGCCTTTGGTCTTCGGATCATGGCCTCTGAGCGACCTCTGTTGATCCCTTCTCCCCAAACTCTGAATACCCAGAATCGTCATATCGCAATGTCCACCTTTGCCGATCTAATCAAGTCCACCCCTCGTAATCCAGACCCGTCTACGTCTTCTAGGATGGATCGGTCCGACCTAGTTGAGAATTCTTCCCACGAAGGCGTCTCGGCGCTTAAGTCGTCTTCTGTGCGGAGTATTTCTTCTATTCAGTCAAAAGAATCGGTGACTTTCACTGTGGATAGCTTCCGGGGGTCGGGATCGAAGCCGGTAAGATATGGGTCGGGGAGAACTGAATCTGAAGGGTTTGGTTCGTCCCAGAAGGAAATCAGCGACGAGGATGCGAGGCTGGTTTACATCAATGATCCCTTGAGGACGAACGAGAGGTTTGAATTTGCAGGCAATTCGATCCGAACAGGCAAGTACTCTGTTTTAACCTTCTTGCCCCGCAACCTGTTTGAACAATTCCACAGAGTAGCGTATATATATTTCCTTGTGATTGCAATCCTGAACCAACTCCCTCAGCTCGCGGTGTTCGGTCGGGGAGCTTCGATATTGCCTTTGGCCTTCGTTCTACTGGTTACGGCAGTTAAGGATGCGTACGAGGACTGGAGGCGTCATCGCTCAGACCGAATTGAGAATAATAGATTAGCGTCTGTGCTCGTAAATGGTCAGTTTCAAACCAAAAGATGGGCGGACATCAGGGTTGGGGAGACCTTAATGGTCTCCGCAAATGAAACTCTTCCTTGTGACATGGTATTGCTTTCTACTAGTGATCAAACTGGGGTTGCCTATGTTCAGACACTGAACTTAGATGGAGAATCGAACTTGAAAACACGGTATGCGAAACAGGAGACCCTGTCGAAGATGCCTGAGAAAGAGGGGATCAATGGGCTGATTAAATGTGAGCGCCCCAATAGGAACATATATGGTTTTCATGCAAACATGGAGATTGACGGGAAGCGGCTTTCTTTGGGACCCTCAAACATTATTCTTCGCGGTTGTGAGCTCAAGAACACAGCTTGGGCTGTTGGAGTTGCAGTATACGCTGGCCGTGAGACTAAGGTCATGCTTAACAGCTCTGGAGCTCCTTCTAAGAGGAGCAGACTGGAGACTCGTATGAACCGGGAGATCATTTTGCTCTCGTTTTTTCTGATTACTTTGTGTAGTATAGTCTCTATTTTTGCTGGGATTTGGCTGCGGCACCATCGGGATGAACTGGACACCTCGCCTTATTACAGGAGAAAGGATTACTCCGAGGGAAATATAGAAAATTACAACTACTATGGGTGGGGATGGGAGATATTCTTCACATTCCTCATGTCAGTCATTGTATTCCAGATTATGATCCCTATTTCTCTCTACATTTCAATGGAGTTAGTGCGCCTTGGCCAGGCCTATTTTATGATCCGAGATACAACTTTGTATGATGAGACAACAAATTCGAGGTTCCAGTGCAGGGCTTTGAATATAAATGAAGATTTAGGACAGATAAAATACATCTTTTCAGACAAAACTGGAACACTTACTGAAAACAAGATGGAATTTCGATGTGCCAGCATCTGGGGAGTAGATTATAGTGGTGCTAGAAATCTTATGCCAGGTGAACAAGATGGATACTCTGTCAAAGGTACTACACAATCTTTCGTAGGAAATAAACAACATGGATGTCACCGCAATGTACTCATCCCACCATCCAGGTGGGATTTACATGGCAGGGCCACCATACACAATACCGCCATGAGATAGAATGTGTGTTGCGGTAATATCCACATTGCTTTAGCATTTTCCTCTCTTCTTAATTAATTATTTAGTTTCCCTTGTATGTGACCTATTATACAAAAGAGGAAATTTATGCCTTTTTTTTTCATTTTTGAATTAGTTGATGGGAAGATATGGAGGCCAAAAATGACAGTAAAGGCTGACCCAGAACTCCAATGGTTGCTAAGAAATGGACAGAAAACAGAGGAGGGAAAGCGCGCTTATGATTTCTTCCTTGCATTGGCTGCTTGCAATACAATTGTGCCTCTTGTCACAGAGACATCTGACCCAGCTGTCAGGTTGGTAGATTATCAGGGTGAATCTCCTGATGAACAGGCACTGGTTTATGCTGCTGCCACTTATGGTTTCATGCTTCTAGAACGAACCTCTGGTCACATTATCATTGATGTTAATGGAGAGAGACAGAGGTAATTCTATCTTGCTTTGTTATGCTGCTATGTTTCATTTAATAGCCATTATTCTTCTAGAACTAGATGTGGTTGGTGGTATGGGTTGCATAAAATGGTTGTGGTGTGGCACTATTCCTCAAGGAGGGGTCATGGGAGAACTTTCATAGAAAGAGTGGAAACTAGAGGGGATAGAGAGAGAAGAGTAACAGTAAGAAGAACAAAAACCTATCAAAATAAGGAAGAATAAGGGGAGAGAGAGATTAATGGTGTTGTCACCAAAGGAAAAAAAGAGGGCTCCTCAATGTATGAACTCCAAGAGCTGCAGAAAAGATAAAAAAACCTTCATTCAAATATCATTTCCACTAGTTATAGAGAGACAATAAATTCTAATTCTGTTTCTCTCTAATAAAATAACAAATAAAATATATTTTATCACATTCTTGGAATATTCTCTTTTGGCATCATCCATTCAACTTCCAAGACTGGGCTTAAACATGGTCTGCGCTAGAATACTCATTGGTCATGTGAGTGGACTGGCCCCAAAACTGTAGGCCCATGACCTAAAATAGATGGCTAGGTGGGGCTTGGGGCATTAGGCAAGGCCTACATCAGTTTCTCTTGTCTTTGAAGAACTTGACCCTTTGACTTAAGAGGAGGATAGATATCTTGCTATTGGACTCCAACATGTTTTTCACATGTATTTGCAGTTGTTGTATGCCATCTTTAGAGATCTTTCTATGGGGTATCCCAATAGGGTTCTTAACTGGTGGACCCATTTGTGATGTCATGCAAATGTGCCTTCTTTGAAGGAAGCAACTTGTTTGGACTTTGGAGTACTTTCATGCCAACTTAGGCTTCATTGGCTTGAAGATGAACTCTTTGAGGCCTTGTTGAAAAGTGTAGTTATTTTCATATCTGTTTTCTTGATCAGCAACAGAAAACATAGCTTTTATTAACTTGTCAGTCATATATGTTATCACCATGGTTGTTCAAGAAATATGTTGGTTGCAGTCATCAATTATGATACCCGAATACTGCATGGATACTTCTAGATATACTAAATAGCATTAACACTTGTAAAATGTGTAAAATGGTATGCCTTAACATATTATAACTAAATCCACACATCTCAGAAATTTAATTAAATTTGGCAAGACATAAATCATGAGAAATGACATTTAGCTTCAAAAAAGTAGATACATACTATGTGAGATACCAATAACTGTATCTGTGTCCGAATGGAGAGTTGTATTCCCATTTCTCATATCTATGTTCGTGTCCATATCCATATCTGGGAAACATCAGTCGTTTGTACATAACGCATGTCTATCCCCTTTGGCTCCCTAATCTGGGAAACATGGGCCATTTGTACATAACAGCATGTCTTCTCAATACAACATTATATGGAGAAGGGCTCTTTTCTTTCAACCCAAGTCCTCTGATTCTTGTGTCCATGTTGATGCAACATGCATTTTTGTCAATTGTGTCTAAGTTGGGTCAGTCTTTTTCCTATTAGTCTAATAGTTTGTATGAGTTGCCTTTTCTTGTGGCACAAGCACTTGGGTCACTTGTCATTTCAGTCCTTAAAGCCATTGTTTCCTTGTCAGTTGTTAGAGTTATTGCTCCAAGCTTGTTAGTTATTAGAACTTTGTAAAATAACTTTCTCCAAGCAATAATAGAAGTTTTACTATTTTCATCTTTTGCATATTAATGTATGGGGTTGGTTTAGGACTATCTCATTGTCTGGGTTTTATGGTCTGTCTATCATAGAGAATGGAAAGAAGAGAAAGAAAGAAGCAAGAAGACAGATGTGTGAAAGAGGAGGAAAAGTGATTGTGGCAGGGCCACTCTCTGGTCTTTTATTTAGTGTTATAATAAGAGAAAATTACATTTATGCTCCTTCACCCTGATAACTAAAGAATTATGACACTCCCCTCAAGTTGGGTTATATATATATAGATATATTGTAAAGACATAAGCCACTTGCTTCTTGGAACTAATAAAGGGAATACATATCTTGCCCTTCTCCACATTCTCACAGATAAAGTACTTATCAGCCTAGCTGATAAAAAAAGTACATATCGACCTGCATGGACATCTTCAATAAAGGGTTCATTAGGAGTAGGGGGTATTTTGAGGAATGATGATAGTCATATTGTTGCAATGTTCTCCGGACTGATTGGTATAGGGGACTCACTAAGGCTGAGATTATGGCTGTAATGGAAGGTAAGCAAAGGGAAATGAATATGAATATGAACAAATTAATTATTGAAGGAAATTCAAGACTTTTGATTGGGTGGTACAGAATAGAGAGGTGGCTCTATGGTTTTACAGGAATGAAATCTAGAAATTCAGATGTCTGACTATAGATATGGAGGTGTGATTTCAACAGGTTCAAAGGGCAGAGAACAGCACGACTGATACTTTAGGCTGCATTTGGAAACAATACTAATGTAAAAGTGTACAGCGCAAAAGCAATGTAAAAGGGTTTGTGAGAATGCAAAATCGTTTTATGTTTGCACATATGATTATGCTTATTTTGTTTGGCTCCAAATGGTGCAACTGCATAAAGAGGACACCAAACCAGCCAGCCTCTGATTCCCTTCAATCTCTTCCTCCTCCTCCTCCTCCTCCTCCTTCAAAAATAAACTCCTAAAACTTCTAACAGGTACCATCAAGTTTGATGGTGGTGATTTGAAGATTTCAGTGCTCTACAAGGTTGGATTTGGTTCCTTCAGAGGCCAAAGTAACAGTGGACCTCGAGGTGGAGGATTCTTGTGCCATTTCCGATTGACACACCAATAGTCTATTGCAATGAGATTAGGCCACAAAAGAGAAACAACATAGAACAATAAAAGGCAACCTTTTTTGTGCTCAATAACTTATAACTTTCATCAAGATTAATGAGAATTAAATACAGAAAGAGGGGAGATAAACTCTTTTAACTCTCCCACCACAAGACAAAAATAACAAGCAAATGAGGCCAAAATAAGAATGGCAGTGGGGCAGGGCGGGGACGGGAAGCCATTCCCCATCCCCATCCCTGCCTCAACCCCTATCCCCACCCCCATCCCCATCCCTGCTGGCGGGGACAAGGTTATCCCCATCTCTGTCCCCACAAGGATCCCCATTCCCTGTTTACGGTATCAATCATTTCGTTTTTGTTTTCTATTTCATTTAAGAAATTAAAAATAAAATAGTTAAAATTTATAATCCTATTAAACAAGATCCAAATATATCCAAACATATTCAACCATATTTTTAAAAATATTAAGTCCCTACCAATGAGGATGAAAATTTCCCCATTCCCATCCTCGCCCCGTTCAGGGTGGGTCCTCATGGGGATAATTTTCATCTCTAGCCCTAAACATAAAGTCCTTAGTCACCCCTTGTTTGGCTAACCCATCAGCAAAGGAGTTAGCAGTAGCACTTCTTTTTACCTGGTTCAATTTTACTTCAATATGCTTAGTCAGCCAATTAAATTTCCTCTTCTCATTACTATAATTCTAGAAACCAGTAGAGTCTTCTTTCAGCCAGCTCACCACCAGTTTATCTATGACCAATTTAGTGATGTTCAGCTCTTTAACTCTTTGAACTCCTTCCAAAACAGAAGGAATCTTAGCCTGGAAAAAAAGAGCAATTACAATGCTCTCCTCATTTCTTAGAACATCTTTGATACCTGAGAGACCTAGATTTCCAGTGCTACTTCCATCGAAAATTTAATTTGAAGAAAACACTAGGAGGAGTCCAAGTCAGTAGGGGGATGCCCTTAGCTGCACCACTCTAAAATGAATTACCTCCAGAATATGTTGTAGACTTCTTTCTCTATTTGAAAAAAAACTTTGATTCCTTTCTTCCCAAATAGTCCAACACATGGCAGCCCTGACACATCTCCACACGGTTCTTTTCTTTGGCCAACTGAACAGAAAAGGGGTAAAGAGACTTTTTACATCTAGCAGAGAAGACCATCTATACCCAAACAAAGAAAAACACCACTCCCAAATACAATTAGCTAAAAAGCAGGAAATTAATAAGTGGTAACTAGTCTCACAAATAGTCTTGCAGAGAGCACACTGGTGAGGAGATTAGTAACTATTAGGTCTCTTTCTCTGAAGTAAACTGCAAGTTTTGAATGTTTTCAGGATTTCTTCCCAACAAAAGCTCCCAACCCTAGGTGGAATAGGTTTGCACCAAACTTCCTTAATGGGGAAAGACTGCCCATACATATCAATTGGTTGAGTTAAAGCTTTGGAAAAGGATGCACAAGTGAAAACCCTAAAGGCTGACAGAGTCCAAACCCTGCTATCAGGTTTTGTGGGATCTAAAACAACCTCCTCAAGAATGCTTAAGAGAGTCAGGGTACTATTTACCTATCAGGTTTTGGGGGACCTTGTTTTCCTTGAATTTCCTTATCTAATTTGAATTTGCAAGGATGGAAATTTTTCCTTCAAGGGGGAATCCCCAATCTAGGCTTGCTCCCAGAATTTAATGAGGTTACTAGAGTGCAATTCATACTTGATCCAGGGTAAGACTAGAGGCAAAGAAGCTTGGATAGTTTTCCAAGGAGAAGCTTTGTGCTCCTAACCAAAATTTCAACGTCCCATCCATTATCTGCAAGCCTATGAATACTAATTACTATCTTTGTCCACAAATTTTCTTTTTCCACAATTTTTCTTTTTCTAAGGGAAACCTCCACAGTCACTTCCCCTACAAGGCTGAATTCCTCTTCTGAATTCCTTAGGCCGAGGCCTCTACACTCCTTACATCTGCTAACCAGTTCCCACCTAACCCTATGGTCCTTTTTCTCCTCCCTTGGATCTCACAGAAAGTCTCGTATTAGCTTCTCCAATCTCCTTGATATCCCTTCTGACACTTTAAAAATTGACAGAAAGTAGATTGACAAATTAGCTAGTGTGGATTTAACCAAACTCTTCCCCCAAGATACAAGTAGTTTCTCTTTCAAGATGTTGGTCTCTTTTCAAATCTTTCCACTATCGGGTCCCAAAAATTTCATCTCA